AACTGTGTGAACTTCACCTGTCCGCATGTGAAACGTTTGCCCAGAAAATCGTTTACATGGTGATTTATCTAAATGCTGCTCTCATACGTCTACACGTTCTTCTTATCGATTACTACCCTCTCGCATTAGTCTCTACAGAAATTCNAACCGAGAGCGCGCTTCCTCAGAATTTCTCAGTAACCTTAAAGGCTAAGTATTTTATTTGTATCTTGCCTTCTATTGATGAGATGTGTAAATTTTTGACTGAAATGCGAACATTCTGTTCTCGCAAAAGTTTATACAAATACAAATACAAATACAGAACCCATAGTTCTGAGTGTGAACCCTTCGAGGCATGAATCAAACGTGCATACAATTACTGTGAAGGATTCTTATTACCCAAAAAAAATTAAAATTAGAGAAATATTTGAGCGGAAAAAGAATTTGACGGACGCATGAGATTTTCATAAACAAAGCAACAAAAAGATAGTATTTGAAATACAACCCATACTTTGCGGAATCACTTGACCGTTCTCGCTCTTGCAATACAGCATCTGGAAATGCACGATTATCGAACCGTTAATGCTTTTGTTTGTCTTTTCTATGGTTTCTCTGAGTGAAACAACGTAGTTCACATAGATCTACACCAACGTGCCAAGCTTTCAAATTGTCTCAAAGCAATTAGTCCTCAACGGTTTTGCTGTGGGATTTTTGTACAGTGCCGTGCTGTGGCTTGTATATTTAACCCAACACAGATGCATCTGGTTAAATCTCGAAAATAAGCGTACGCTTTTCAGTATCATAAAGGGAAATAGTACCAACTTACTTCTGAACATCTTTCTGACGAAGGCCATCAGCTCTGTTTGACGGTAGAAGTCATTCATTGAGACCCTAGATGTGAAAAATGNTATTCACACTCAGCTCAGGATGATCTGCGATTTCCACACACCGCTCTGCTTCCCTGCAGTTTAGGTTTTGGACGAATCAAGGTCCCGTTGGGGAATCCTGAAGACAATCTCCCGATCCGGGTAGTGTAAAATGGCATCGTTCAACCCGGGAACGAGACGTGGTTTGATTGCTTAACGATAAAGATTTCTGCAATATGCGTTTTCGGATAGACCAATACCCGAAACGTAAACGTTTAGCACGTATCAACTATAAGATGCGGAATAGATTATTTTATTATGCATCAGTCATTTTTTTCCGGTTTTTCGTCTACTGTGCTTATATAAAACCATTACTAGCAATCAACATGTGGTTATGCACTGTTGATAGTGCAATCCATTCGTTGTTTTTTCGGTTTGTTTTTACAATATCCGTGACAGAAGTGACTCGAACCTTTTGGACTAATTATATACGGTCAGTTTAATTCACCAATCATATTCAGATTTTCTTCATAATAATTCTTGACGAATTGATCTTTTCACACTGCTTTAGTCGATGAATGTCATATACTTCTGGTGATGCGTGGGCGTTTGATCTCGTCTTGACAAAGGAGTTCTTTCTTCGATGATGATGAAGGGAAAATTGTTTCGCATGTGATTATCCCGTTACACGTTTGCTAGCCACTACTCGGTGTCGTTGTTGTTGTTTAGTGGAATATTGCACTATAACCTTAAAAAATTTATCTTATATTACTTACCGATTTCGTTTTCCCACACAATTGTTTGTAATTGGACAGTGATGGTCAAACACTTCCACGCATCTATCACAATGTGCACAATGTTTGGTTCTCAGTGGTTTCAAACAATTGCATGTGTGACACAGACGGGATAGCAACTGTTTAAGTCGAGCGACTTGTGATTTGTACTCTTCCAAGCCGGGCGCTATTGCCAAAGTGCTGATTGGTTCCATTATGCCACTATCAGTTGAAATTGAGTGCAAGGATGTTGAAGAAGCCAACCACGACAATTTGGATCTTAGACCCAGTTTCCTCGGCAAACAATGGAGGATTTCTCGAGCCTGTGAATTGAATAAATTGCAGAGATGATTTGATTTTATCCTTCTATGCGAGTTGAACGTACAGATTCCTAAAATAAGACATGTGCATCGGTTCGTGAGTCATTAACACGTAAATTGCCTAATTGTTGTATACCTAATGATATCTGGAGAAAGAGTTGGTGGAACAGAAGCACATGTAGGACATTCCACAGAGTTCCTCCGCAATTAGTTGTCCATCCTGTGAACCGGAATGTTTTCTCCCCCTACCACGAGATAAATGAAGATGCGTGTTAATTCATCTACAAGATTCCCCTAAACCCTTCCAAAACCCTCCGACAGCACGATCTTGCCACAGCAGACGTGGTAACAATAGCGTTATGGCGACCATCTCCAGGTTCAGAAAAATAGTTTGTTAAAGCCCTCTAGCTACCCCGGCCCAGGCCCGACACAAATTTACCCATGACCTTTTAACCTAAACCTGAAGTATGTCACTTCACTCATTATGTTTCGACTCTCTTCCCTCTTTGCCCTTCTTTGTGATCTGAGTTCGACTCACCTCAAGCAAGGCATTATCATATGTTGCAGAGTTCTTGGACAGAAATCCGGGATCCTTGTAAACCGCTGCCAAATAGCAAATCCAAGCTGGAAAGTTCAACAATAACCACCACTTGCAACTGGCTTTCTCGTGAAATGTGAAGGAATGATGCATGACCTGAAAAACAATTAAAGGCTGATACTATATGCTGGTGCTTGGACGTGAATCAGATATATTCAATCGTTCTTGTCCGTACAGACTTGTACAATAGATACTTACCAGTAACACATATTTGAAATGCACCACGGGTTTACCTCTCCTTTTGCATTTCTATAGCTGCTATTAAAAATTCACCTTTCAGAAGATCGGTGCAGGCAGTTTTCTTCAAGACTTTATTTATTATCAGTGGGCAGAATATTCGAGACATCACTTAACCGAAAGAAGTGCTGCAATACGTTTTACCAATCATCTTCCTCTGTAATTTTGGACTGTCAATATCAGCCAACCACTGGAGTTTTCAAGCAATCCTTGATCAAACCAGCCAGTCTATGACAAGCGCGATAAATTAAAAAGGTTGAATGATAGCACCCTCCATTCACACTTGCGTTTCCATTTTGAGTTTCCTGAGTAGATTATGTGTTTGGCTTATGATTTTTGAAAGTTGATTTCCTGAGTGTTCATTCTATTAAAACAGCACAGTCATAAGGTGACGTTTAACATTAAAACATAGCGAATTATTCTGCTTTTTTCACTATTCCTTATCAATATATCAGGACCAAATGATGTTAGGATTTTATCCAAAAATCGACGCCCAATGTGTTGCATTTATCGTGAATGTTATAATGTAAATAACACATAGTTAAAAAGCTCTGTAACGAAGATAATAACCGCTAAATGGAAATGAAACACCTCATTAAAGTGCTAGCATATAATAATTATCCGCCACTCCTGTTAAGGTGCCAGCTAGAAGCGACCAAACCAATAATGTAATTCAAAGACAAAAAAGACCGTGTAGCCTCTATTGGCATTCCATTTAGATCAGGCACTTTAGAAGCAATTAGAAAGATTCTCGGAGATTTTAGCATACATACATACTTTCGCGCTGACAACACTGAAACGCCATCTCATGAGAGCCCAAAATCTGTTCGAAACGCACAGTCGAAATAACTGCATTTAAAAAATCAGTTGTAAAGAGTGCCCAGCAGAATACATTGGGCAAGCCAGTAAACAACTTAAGACAAGAGTAACCGAACATGAGAGAAAAGAAAAACACCGGTCTACGGACAAAGCAACTCTGGCAAAACAATAGAACTATAGAACGAGATTCAGAGATCACTGTTCACGCCATAACGGGTAATCCCAACAAAGGGCATCGTCCCACTTGACCCCATCTGATAATGGGAATCAGTAGGATAGGCAACGCATCATTCAGATCACCACACGAATTCACACACACACACACACACACACACACACACATACCTCCGACGAAACATCCTGTCCTCTGAGTCATTTGATTGTAAAACCTGCTTTGGAAAAGGTCAGCCGCGGTAACCGAAACCACAGTGAATACTATACTCTACCAACATCGCCGTGTTATTTACACTATAACATTCACAATAGTCCTACTACTGAGTTAAATGCGAATAACCAATGGAGCCTGGTAGGTTTGTTACAAGTCAGTCCGTAAATTGCATGGAAGTTCTGACTTGGTGTGAGGCTTTTGACTGAAGTTAACAGATTGTCACCTGTGTTCTCCGTCGTTGCTGTTGGGCCAAATGAACCGACTGACTATCGCTGAAGACAACACCTGAAGAAACATGGATTAGCAATTTGATTCAGCCATGGTATGAACCGGTCGGCACAGGGGAAACGCACACGCCTTCCATGCGCTAGGTTCGTAGTTCAAATCCCGAACGGGACGGTGGATATGCACTGCTTTTCAACTCCAATAAGAGCGGAACGCGAGTCTAGTGCTTCGACTGCCCGTTTGAACAGACGTAATGGAGATTATGCATGAAGGTAAAGTCCGAAGGATAGTCATTTCCCTCTAGTTTTCATTCACTTCAATTAATGCTGTTTCTGTTTCCCCTCAGTTTTTATAAGTACCGGTTTATTGTTTTTCCTTTTCAACATTGATGAGAATTGTCTATTCAGTTTTTTCAATCGCTTTTCCTTAAAATGCCCGTGCGAACAGATCGTCTCTAACATGGCGAGATCAGGCATTATGCATTCACGATGGATGCAAACAATACTGAAGCGCTTTCTGTGCATTGTAAATGAGCCACACGGTGTGAAAATGGAATGATGGGAATGCATTTGCTTTTGACATGTCAAATAATAAGTTATTGAGCATTGGGCATCTACCTGAAACCAGAAGAAAGGATAAATGCTGAGCCATATGCAAATGTGGAAGTACAATGCGGCCAATCTCCGACTACCCGGTTCTCCAAGGAGGAGGTATCTGAAATAAAATTAAACTGAGTGCCATTAAACATAATTCATAAAATAGTTTTTCGTGATAAAATCATCAATACAAATTACTGTGGTATTACCCAGTAAAAATTATTTGCCATAATACTAATTTACAGTAAAATATAAAGCTAGGTTAACAAACCCGATCACGTAACTGTTTCCACCGTACAGAAGGTCTTCGTCAGTTTCAGCTAACCTCAGTGATTGTGAGAGATAAATTAAAACAAAATTGTTTCCATATCCTTGGCTACTTCAAGTTAATCGCACAAGTTTAACTCTCGTTATGAACTTTACCAGTGAACAAAAGCAGAGCAGGATGTAAATAGTCCCCGAATCTAGTAATCTAGTGGCATAGTAAAAAGTTATTGTAACGGACGGAATCAATGAAACAGTCATATTTTCATGCCAAACGAATGTAAGATCTCGTATTCCAGTATGTGATAACGGATTAGCAGCATTCTGGATGACACTGAGCTGATGACATGACAGTGCATCATTTTCTGTAGAGTTATGCTATTCAACCTATATACACGTATATATATATATATATATATATATATATATATATATATATTGTACAATAAGTAGTATATGAATGACTGGACAAAATTCACCGTGGAAGCACACGACCGGTTTAGTGATTCTTGCCGCTTATCAGGCATGCGTATCCGGTAGTGTTTTGTGTTTTTTATTCATATACTTGTACTCGGCTAGTATATTTTCGTCACAGTAAACTCATCCGCAACACTAGGTAAAACAAATGATGGAAACAGTAGTATTGATTCATCAATGCACTGGTCCTGAAAGAACTGTCTAAACAAATTTACTCGCCAATGAGGCTACTGTGACGAAAATAAGTATATATATATTATTATGATTATGATTATATATTATAAATAATATGAATTTAAGTTCCCAAAACTAATCATCCTATTCATTTTCATAGTGCATCCCTAGACTCGATCCTCTGCGAACGACTGCATCAAAACAGAGGTGCTGATAGCATTCTGTGTAATCATGCAACACATTACAAGTGTGAAGTGAATCACAGAAGCAAAGCTCACGAAATTTTTCGTCCCACTAGCTGAAAACTGAATGGGATCAAATTCTGCGAATCAAGTCGATTCTTCTCAGTCTCCAGCAGCGCTACCACCTCAGACCAACCATATCTGTTCGCCAGTTGAACCGGTGTATGTCCCTCCTGATCACGAATATTCAACGGATGTTGCAATGGGGCCAGACTCAGTTGACTCTCCAACGCGATAGGTAGTCGGCATAGAGCACGCACAACAGACAAATGTCCCGCGGAACTGGCCAAATGCAAGGGGGTCTGATGCATTTCATTCAGTAGTATCCACGGTTTCAAACCACTGTTTTTCAAAAGGTTACAAACATTGATGTGTCCTATGGGTGTCGCGGAAAAAGGAGGCGGATAGGATATTGGCACTGCAACCGTGACTAAGTAAGTTCGGTAAGATACAGTCAGACACAGAAACATCAAAATACACGATATTGCAGGTATAATGTAATTAAATCCATTAAGTAGTTTGCGATTATCTAGTCAGATATACTGGATTTCATTTCCGAGACATTAATCAATTCATCTGTAAGGT